TAACTGAAATCTGATTCAGCAGCTAGGAATGTCTTGTCTGTAAACCATCTCGTTACACGATTGCTGCCACCATAGCAGACTCAACGTGATCGATGGCGGCAAGGGTAAAATATATCTTCAACATATTCGACCTCACTATCGGCAAAATGACACGAAAAATAACTAGACTTCAACCAATCAAAAGTAACTTCAACCAATCGAAAAGAACGCCGGAAAAGCACATCCCATGTCGGAAGGTAATGAAGGTGTCGCGGCAACCGCGTCTAAATACCGACTGTGAAATAATTCGAGCGTTGTGCGGATGGACATAAATTTGACATTATAACATGCTCTCAAATAGTTGGACAAGACGCCACTGGAAACACGATAAGTCCATAAACACGAAGTTGAACACCCGCAATTATTCTTTATCCGAAAGTAGTAGAAAACACATCACAATTAACTTATTAAAGCAACAGCCGCACCCGCGGCCGACAGTGAAATTCGCGTTGGGTCAGGTGGATCGGCATAAATTCGATATTGAGACTCTCTCGTTAGGCAATGCGTTCATCAATTGCCCCATAATGGCCCATATGCCTTGCATACAACCGCGGCTCGATACTGACAATGAAGTTTGACAATAAATATTTTGAGAATCAACAATCAACATGCTACCCTCGTACTAGCTACTTGTAGTTGTAGATCGTTGTGCATCAATACATTTTAGTTTTTAATAACTTATAAGTGCCCAAATGATTTGGTTCCAGTATATCTAAGTGATTATTTCGTTAACAGCAGAAGATTAAAAGTATCGAGATAAAGATATACTGAGATCATCGTTTATCATGTTACTAATTATTAAACCTTTCCAAAAAACCTTTGCATTTTCGTAACAGAGTCCTTGATTTGAATCCGGTTTTGCCTTATTTCGAGTCCGGGTTTTCCAAAGTCAAGTCCGGGTTTTGTTAAACACGAGTCCGGATTTTCTTCGAGTCCGGGTCCGGGTTTTTCTCGAGCCCGGATTTTCTTCGAGTCCGAGTCCGGGTCCGAGTCCGAGTCCGGCCCGGGTTTCGAAGTATGCCAATTTAAATGAATCAGCCAGGCATCGTAAACGTTTTATAAAAAATAGCACTTGGTTTTAAGAGCGATAAATGACATCCAGACATCTAAGACACTTTGTCATACTTCAGCTTATTATGTATTATTTCAAACGAGGCAACTAACAATTTGTGAAGTGAATTAGCTGGCCCGGCTTCTATATAACCACCGTTGAATAGTGTCCGGTTGAACGGCTTTTTTGGATGTACATGCAGTCGAAACAACGAACTGCCTTGTTTAAGGCATTTGCCTTTTTTGTCTATTTTATATAGGAAGCACAGAGTTGTGGAAATGGAAAGAGAATTCGAGAGTTCATCGAGAAAAGTTCGTTATGCTGCGCGAATATGGAAAAACCCATCCGAAAGAGATCAAGGAGGTTAACGGAGTACGCTTTTGCTGCTTGGAAGAGTTTCTCATTGGTAAAGGAAATGATGGCACTCGAGTTTATGTAGGATTAGGGAAAGATGGATACGAGAGGGCATGAAATGTTTCCGCAGAGACGCTTGCGCTGGCTTAGCTGAACATGAAAAGGAGATTTTGAACGAACCCAATGCAAAAAAGTCAAACCATGTGGCAAATTATTGTTCTTTTGACGACGAAAGTGACAAAGAGTACTTCTTTTTAATAATGGATTTATGCGAGGAAACATTGGAAACTTTTGTTGGTGATAAGAATAAGACTTTGAAGGATCTGGTAACAAATGCGCCAGTTATCATTCAGCAAGTTTTGAAAGGATTAGCTGACCTCCATCGCGATCCAAAGCCCATTTTGCATCGAGATGTAAAACCGCTCAACGTCTTGCGAAACATGCACGGTGATTGGTTGCTGGCAGATTTTGGCATCATTCGACTCTTGGCGGGAGGTGCCACTACCCATCAAAGCAAGCCGATGGGAACGGAAGATTGGATAGCTGTTGAATCCCATCCTTCGAACCCTAACCTTTGCATAACTGCATGATGATGGCACAGTATGCTACAAGAAAGAATCCGACATTCAGGTAGGGATTTTCTTACGATAAACATGAATAAAAGTATATTAAGTTACATTGCTTTCAAAACAAAGTGTCGTAAAGCTCCGACGAAGATTGTGAGGTTTAACCAGAGAAATAATATCTCCAATCCCCTATTTTGTAAGCACTAAACATGGCGACCAAGCGCGAACAAATCTAAATCAGACAGATGTTTACCAGCATTATTAGATTTCCATAAAGTTGGATACTTGGATTAACCATCACTTTTTCCTAAACCAAGTTTTCAGAGTTTAAATGGAGACGTCATTGAAATAAACAACGGTTTTTTCTAATAATGCTTGTGTCAGCATTATTCTTCAAAACTTGGTAACTAAAGATTAAGAAATAATTGTGTCGAATTAAAATATTTGGCGTTACACGAATTTTGTATTGTTCTGTGTTTTGTCATAATTTGTCTTACCTCTAAAGATAACAATACCAATTTTCTTCTATCATACTTAGGCAGTCGGAATGGTGGCATTTTATATTGTTACAAAAGGTGAACATCCCTTTGGAGCAAAACCAGATCGACTTCGCAACTTACTTGATGGCAGGCCGGTTGGTTTGAAGGCGTTGAAAGATCGGGTCTTAAAGGATTTATTATCCTGGATGCTAAGCCACGACCCCAAAGATAGACCGTCGGCTGAACAAGCGTTGAAACACCCTTATCTTCAGCCCGCGGAACAGCAGTTTGAAATGTTGTGCAAAATGGGAAACCAATCTGAGATCAAGACAGGGAATTTGAAATCAGATGTCGTGCGATTGTTGAACAGCGATCCCAAAGATTGGAGATCTCAGATGAATGCCGATGTTCTGCAGTATTTAAGCACTGATCCCTTGAAGGGGAAAACATTTCATTATAGGCCGTCGTGGACGGACTGTTTGCGACTTATCCGAAATGTCAAGGAACACTGGCAGGACCGTCCAAGGCCACGACCCGAACTATTCTATGTAGTGGACGATCCCGAAGAGTACTTTCTTAACCTCTTCCCCAACCTTCCTGTCGAGGTTCACAGAATTATCAGGTCATGTGATTGGAAAGAACGACCTGACCTTAAGGAGTACTTCATATAAGATACAATATTTGGTTTGTGTGCGTATAAACTAATCTGAGAAGTTGTTTAATTCGGACGGGAAAACACTACTGATCTAAAAACTGGGGCTGGACTGAGTGCATCTGCTGAGCATAAATAAAATCAATGGCAGCGATATTGTCGTGACCACCAAAAATCTGCTGTGCTTGTGATGCTGTTGACATGTTAGAAAAGGTTCTAACATTTTCTAGTTATTGGTGTGAAAGGATAAATGTTGTATTAATATTAATATTTTGGCCAACAGTGACCTCTCTTTCTTTTTCAAATTTAAATGAATAACTAATAATGACATCAATATCGCTGCCACGACTCTCACAAACTCAGTAGTGTTTAAAATTTTCTGAAACTCCTGATAAAAAGTACGGCAAGCTTCAATATATCTCTGAAATCATATTGCAGACGGCATTTGCTTCATATCAATATATGAAGCAAATACCGTCTGCAATATGATGAACACGTAACGATTCTATTTTAGTGGTTATTCCACATTCAAAAATGTTTTCTCATTAAAATATTCTGGCTTCAAAATTGACTCTGTTAATTCAAAAGGATACTCTATCCAGTCGTACGTTTTAGATCAGTGGAATAAAACAAGGTTGGTGTGAGTGGTTCATGTAACCCAGTCATGAACTGTATACGTAACATGAAATGTATTGTGCTCAATAATATTAGCGAGCTTAAGCATGTAGGACGGCAACACGACGACGACGGCCAAAACAAATTCCTTCAAATAAATGATAGTAAAGAAAACTTGTCGTATATTATAATTTGTATGAATTTAATACAGTATAAGAAGCTGAAAACATTGGCTTTATGTTTGAGAAGAGTTCTGCTGACCGAATTTTAAGTTGCACTTGTTACGGCTTGAAATGCAAGCGTTGTATAAACGACGTGAAAATCTGTGATTTGCCGTTGTAAACAGAGCGACGACTACGTCTGAAACTCCCCTGGGACTTTAATTATTTACTTCTTTTCATTGACTCATTGTATTGGTTGCCATCGTCCTCGTGTTGCCGTCCTACGTGCTTAAGCTCCCTATTGTAGCGGCGACGCCGGCGAGAGCCAATGTCCCAGTGAACTATAAATGTCTTTATTTTTCACCCTGCTCGGTTTCCTTTGTTCTTGTCGGGGAATATATTCAATATTCCCCTCTAATCAATTTCCGTTTAATAATCCCCTCTAATAATCACCTGCAATTAATAATCCCCTCTAATATTCACCTGCAATTAATAATCCCCTCTAATATTCACCTGCAATGTCTTTGCAG